CTTACTCGTTTAACGAGCCTGAACTTACAGCCAGAGAGTTCTCATAAAAAATGCAACCAGTCGGTAATGAAACTTGTATGAAAATTTTGATTGGAATTGTTTTTTCTTCTTCAAAATCAATCAAAATAATGGATAAATAAAAATAAATCAAAATGTACTTGTTCTGCATTTGCAATATAGAAACTAATGTGCATAATAAAGATTTGATTTTCAAATTTGTTTATTGCATTTTCTGTTCACTACACTACTGCATTCTAAAAACATTCAGAAATAAGTTAGAAATGTTACAAACTGTACAAAAGCGACATCTATCTGAATAATATCTGTCTATATTTCTGAGATGAGGTATTATGTGCACTATTTACATTATTCGGACAATTGTCCTCATCTTTGTCGCCATATTTATTACAACGTTTCGGCCGTTGTATGCTCCGGCCTTCTTCAGGTGGTTGGAATGTCGAACTGAACCCTATTTATTACAAAGTTTCGGTTCTTCAGTATCTGTCTATATTTCTGGGATGAGGTATTATGTAGACTATTTACATTATTCGGATTATTGTCCTCATCTTTGTCGCCATATTTATTACAACGTTTCGGCCGTTGTACGCTCCGGCCTTCTTCAGGTGGTTGGAATGTCGAACTGAACCCTATTTATTACAAAGTTTCGGTTCTTCAGTATATGTCTATATTTCTGAGATGAGGTATTATGTGCACTATTTACATTATTCGGACTATTGTCCTCATCTTTGTAGCCATATTTATTACAACATTTCGGCCTTTCAGTATCTGTCTATATTTCTGAGATGAGGTATTATGTATATTATTTACATTATTCGACTATTGTCCTCATCTTTGTCGCCATTTTATTACAACATTTCGACCTTTCAGTATCTGTCTATATTTCTGAGATGAGGTATTATGTATATTATTTACATTATTCGGACTATTGTCCCTCATCTTTTTGTCGCCATATTTATTACAACATTTCGACCTTTCAGTATCTGTCTATATTTCTGAGATGAGGTATTATGTATATTATTTACATTATTCGGACTATTGTCCTCATCTTTGTCGCCATATTTATTACAACATTTCGACCTTTCAGTATCTGTCTATATTTCTGAGATGAGGTATTATGTATATTATTTACATTATTCGGACTATTGTCCTCATCTTTGTAGCCATATTTATTACAACATTTCGGCCGTTTGCTACCTCAGAATGGTCAAAAAAAAAAAGAAAAAGAAAAAAGAAACCAACACAAAGTTTGAATGTAAGATACAGGCAAAATATCATTCAGCACCCTGATATCGTGTTGATAAATTAGGGAAGTACAGTCAGCTAGACTGTCCCCTAAGAGAACCAGGCACACATCTTGTCTATGGTATATCGTTCCAAAACGAGACATGACTCATCCTAATCAAAAGGCTGGGAAACGTTGCTTCTAATCAAATAACTGTATCATTCAGCTCCAAATAGAAATCACTTGTTGGGAAAATAGAAGCAATTTAAAATTTATCGACTGATTTCGTCTGGTACCGAATTTTACGACAACTCAGGCCATCGCTTTGTAGAGTGCCACATTATTCTGTTTTTTTTTTGTTTTTTGGGTTTTTTCAGTGTAGAATCGTGTAAATATTGCCAGCGTTTCAATATTTTATTAACAAAAATTTCGTTTACCGTTTTAAATATTGATATCCACCATGTCAGATTTCATAACGCAAGTCAATATTTTCGCAATAAAATTGATACTAACCAACTGATGTTGGTAAAACTTCAACCTATATTTATACAATAAAAATCACGAAAAAAAAAAAATGAACAGAGATCACGGAAAAATACAAAAAGAAGGAAATATTGGCAAGATAAAATCACGAAAAATTATATTTATAATTACAAAGAAATAAACGATAAAAGTAAAAGTGTAATAAGGAAAATGAATTTGACGAAAATAAAATATTGGAAGTAACTGGGCTTGTGAAACAAGAAAGAACGAAAAGCTGCAAAAAGTCAAGACATGGAAGGAAAATTATCACATTTAATTAAACATTATGAGTTCAAGCGCCCTACGAGGCTGGCATCCCGCTCTCACCCTTTCACTGTCGAAACTCCTAAATGTAGCCGTCTCTTCTACTTCAATAGCTTCATGTCTCGCACCTCTCGCCTGTGGAACTCCCTTCCTGTTTCCCTGAGAGCTATGATCTCCAGCTATTCAAATGTAATGTCAATCGACATCTCCAGTTGCCTTGATCTATCCACTACCCTTCTCCTCATCCTTTCTTCTATCCCCTCCTATCTGATCTTCTGTAACCCCTTGCGTCCTAGTGGCTTCTTGCCTTGCTTGGGGTGAAACGCTAAAAAAATAAAAATAGAAGAGTGAAAATTGTGTAAAGAAGTAAATAAAAACTTGATTTTTTGTGATAAATGTAGATTGACATTGGATGAACCGGATGAACTGGAGTTTGAAGCAGTCATAGAAATAGTCATGTGACACGAATTAAACGACAAAAGTGGGAGAGGAAGTAATGCTTTTGGCTTATAGGTTTTGATTATGAAAATTAACAAAAACTTGGTGATTCGATAAATTCTTATGTAACTCTCGAGTTGCTTAACGTTCGCTTTTTTACCAAGACACCCGGGTTCGAATCTTACCAGGGTCAATTTGTCAGGAATGAGAATTCCTGATGTTATCGTTCTGGAGTGACGGGTTGCGGTACCTTTGGAAAGTGCCAAGGAAACCATAGCACGGTTTGCCCCAAGCCTTGTGAGTGTAATTTGTAGGAGACTGAACGATTGGGGCTGTCGATAGCTGTGCTAACACGAAGTCACAAGTCATTGTGATCAAGAGTTTGAGTGTGCTGCTGTTGTTCAGATTGTTGATCATTCTAGATAACATGCTCTCTCCCAGAATCTGTAACTAAGGTCTGCTCAGCATATTTGCAGTATAAACCACAGGTGGGCTCTGTGGGTGTTGAACAAACA